CCGCGGAGCAGGGAGCCCGATGCGGGGCTCGATCCCAGGACCCTGAGATCATGACCTGAGCCGAAGGCAGATGCTTAACGACTGAGCACCCAGGTGCCCCGAAACAGACTTATTTTTTAAATGTGTCTTTTTGTATTATTCTATTGTTTCTATCTCCTCATATGTCAACCCTCCCATTTTCGTGGAATGCTTTTCTTCATATTGGACTTACTCAAATGTTTTGATTTGTTATACTAATGTTTTAATAATTTATATCCTTCATATTGGTCTTCCCCAAATGTTTTATAATTTTTGTGTGTGAGCTCATCCTCATTGGGAATAATCTTTAGGGTGTGGTGATGGAGGTGCCCCCAATAGTGCCCCAGATGGTGGACAGCTCCCCATAGTCCTTTCTACCTCAATCTTAATGGTTCACAGTTTCTCAACTTTTTCCCTCAACTTCTATCTTAGAGTTTCTGTGCTTCATGAGCAGCAAAACTTTGGACCCCATATACAAACCCAGCTTGTTCTCTATTTTCTTATTGGTGATTCTCTTTCTACTTATGGCCTGGGACAATTGCTTTATTATATATAGCTAAACTTCCTGCTGTGTTCAGGTCCAAAGTTTTTATTCTTGTTCCCCCATAGCTGTGAACTTAAAACAAACATATCTTCTGGCCACATGTGTATAATCCCTAATAAACTAGCTTACCGGGGTAGATATAAAATTATGGCACCCTAGAGATTTACCTGTCTTACTTTTGAGATCAAATATATATTTACGTTACATATATCATCTGATATATGTAATATATATATACTTTTTTCAGCATTTCTGTGTGTTCAGGAAATTTCACGTGCCCTTAGGCAAGCTACTGAATCTCTATATACCTGGCTCTCTCATCGTAAGACCATAGTGATGATTAAACAAGCTAATTTGTGTAAAGTGCTTAGAACTGAGCCTGGCCCAGAGGTGGCCAATAGATATCATGGTAATTATTCATGCTTCTGATCAGTTCTTTTTCTTGATCAGGCCTTTATATATTTCAAATGTTTGTTTGGGTGCCTGGTGGCTCACGCAGTTAAGGGTCTGACTCTTGATCTCAGCTCAGGTTTTGATCTCAGGGTCATGAGTTCAAGCCCCACATTGGGCTCCATGCTGGGCATGAAGCCTACTTAAAACAAAAATCAAATGTATTTTTAAAATAACAATTATAATTTTTTTAAATTTAAAACATTGGAATTCTTCTCCTCTCCCCACTCCCAACAGCAAGCTCAACAAAGGAAGTTATTAGATAATCTTAAAAGAAATTCTCTTGTAAGGAATTAAACTTACTACACTTCAATGGTCAATTCCTGCCAATGCACATTTATAATCATCACTTTAAAATGTTTGTTTTGGGTGCCTGGGTGGCTCAGTTGGTTAAGCGACTGCCTTCGGCTCAGGTCATGATCCTGGAGTCCCTGGATTGAGTCCCGCATCGGGCTCCCTGCTCGGCAGGGAGTCTGCTTTGCCCTCTGACCCTATCCCCTCTCATGTGTTCTCTCTCATCCTCTCTCTCTCAAATAAATAAATAAAATCTTTTAAAAAAAAATAAATAAAAAAAAATAAAATGTTTGTTTTATGATTATTAAGTCTGTTAATGAGCTATCAAAAATTATCACCCAGAAAACATCACAAAAGCTTCTGGTCAAGGACATCCCAGGTCTTGAAAGGGATTTCTCTGTGTCTTAATCCATTTGGGCTCCTATAACAAAATATCATAGGCTGGGAGGCTTATAAACAACGGAAATCTATTTCTCACAGTTGGGGAGGCTGGGAAGTTCAAGATCAAGGTGCTGGCAGATTCACTGTCTGGTGAGAGCCCTCTACGGTTCATAGACAGCCATTGTGGAAGGGCAAGGGAGGTCTCCGGGGTGTCTTTCGTTAAGACTCTATAAGTCCCTCATAGGCAGAATACTCATGACCTAATCACCTTCCACAGACCCCAGCTCCTAAGACCATCACTTTAGGGGTTAGTTTCCAACATATGAATCTTGGGGACACAAACATTCAGTTCATGGCCATCAGTATCATCCCAGAATATTCTTACAGCAGAGCAGTAGATGGTCATTAAAGAGTGCAGGTCTCCAATGTGTGCAGAATTGGAAAACCATCAAGACAACATAGAACAGTGTATATAAGCTGTGGCCCCACCTGAGGAAAATACACGGGTGTGTGTTGGTGGGGGGCGTGTGTGCGTGCATGTGTGTGTGAGACAGAGCGAGATTGAGAGAGAGAGAGAGGTTAGGTACAGAGGGAACATTTCTAGACCAATACTCACGAAACTGTTCGCGGAGGTTATGTAAAATGTTTTTGAGCAAGAAAGTGACAAGATCAGGGCTGTGAGCAGACTCACATGGCATACTGAGTGGGATGGAGTGGGAAGGACTGGAAGCAATTGAGCCAGGAGACCTGTTTAGAGGCCGTTGCTCTAGTCAGGCTAAGAACTGCCGGAGGGCTATTCCAAAGCAGTGAGATGGAGTGGAGGGGAAAAAAAGAAATTAGATTCACCTTCGAGATGCTCCCAGCGGCACCCCAGGGCCTAGCACGGTATCTACACCTACTAGGTGCTCACCAAAGATATGAAATAAATGGTCTCCCATATGAAAGATTTGACCATTCCTCTCCCAAGACATCCACTAGCCACCTTAAGATGTAAATCCCACAGACCCCATCAACTCTCTTCACTCAGCCCTGGTCTCTGGGGAGCAGGGTCAGGAGATGGGGTCCATAGGCAGGTAAGGCTACAGCCCACATTTCCCTTGTTTTCCTCTGGCCCTGCCCATCCGGGAGGGGGGAATCTGTTCCTGCTCAGCCCCTGCTCTCACTCCACCAGGCACCTCTCCAACAGTCTGCTTTACCGCAGGCAGGGCTCTGAGCTGGGCGCCGTGAGTCTACGTGGCAGGAGAAGCGTCTCCAAAAAGCTTCGGGCCCACTTCCCTTGGGAACTAAGGGAAGACAAGAAAACTGCTAATGAGGAAGGGGGAAAGCATGCCAAGAAAATCAGATATAACCCTACACACACACACTCATGCACACACATGCACACGTGCCCCAGCTACCATAACACTTTGCACTTAGGACTTGCTTAAAATACGGGTTTTAAATGAGTGCAACAACGAAAGGAGAGTGAGCGGAAGAGAAGGAGTTGCAGAAGTGTAGCAGTTGAAGGGAAGATGCTCCTGAAGAACAGGTCTTTGGCAGACCCTCCCTGCAACACCGGTATCTATGGAAGCTCAACGGGGAGCCTTTGGTGGTGGGGGACGAGGAGGGCGAGTGGGAATAACTATATTTATTCTGGTATCTTCTGAGCCTAATGTGGGGTCTGGCTTATAATATCCTGCTCAAATGTTTGTTAAATAAATGAAGGGATATTTGGATGGATGGATGGTTGGATGGATGGTTGGATGGATGGATGGATGGATGGATGGATGGATGGATGACAGATGGATAAGAGACTACTTCTACCTGGCTTTTAGAGGCAAAACTGAAACGAGTGTTTTGTGGCCATCGGGTGGCTGCGGTAGACAGCTCTTCAAAGATGGCTCTCAGCAATCCCTACCTCCTGGCATTCGTGCCTTTGTGTAATCCCCTACCTTTGAGTGTAGGCTGTACCTGATGACTTTCTCCTAGCAAGTAGTGGGCAGCAAAAGTGATGGGCTGTTACTTCTGTGAGTAGACTACAAAAGACAGTGACTTCCATCTTCCTGGTGACGAGGTGTCACAGTAGAGAGGCCCATGAGATGGCCTCAGGCCAACAGTCAGTGAGGGGCTGAGGCCCTCAGTCCAACAGCCCATAAGGAACTGAATGCTGCCAACAATCTCATAAGCCTGGAAGGAGACCTGGATTACAGCCCGTGTGAGACCCTGAGTAGAGCACCCATCTAAGCTGTGCCCCAATTCCTGACCCACAGAAACTGTGAGATGACAAATGTGTGCTGTTTCAAGCTACCATGTCTGGGGTTAATTTGTGGCCGGCAAGAGAGAGCCAATACAATGGCCGATTTGAGTTTATAAAAATGAACATTCTGGCAATTAAGCTTGGCAAACGATGGTAGTGGTTAAGAACCCAGCTTCTAATACCAATTGGGCTAGTTTGAATCCTGGGTCCCCAACTTACTAGCTATGTGAACTTGGGCAGGACGATCAACTTCTCTAAGCCTCTGTTCCCGTATTCGTAAAATGGGTATAATTCTCTGCTCACAGAAATCACACAAGGATTACATAAAGTGCTTAAATAAAGTACTTAGTCTGGTACCTGTCGCCCAATAGAAGGTAGCTGTTAGCAATAATAATAATCATAGTAATGGGGCAAGCACCCTCACAAAGCAGCGGGTGTCCCACAGCTGGAGGGGACCAAGCTGAGGCATGATGGCAAGGTGCAAGAAGTGCATGGAACCCTAGAGGACTCCAAGCCCGTTCCCAAGCCTCAGAGTCAAGTGCTGTGTGGCTGCCTGGCCAGTGCTGAGGGGTGAGGGGTCGGGTGTGCCAAGGGACCATCGGTGTTACCTTGCCCCGGGGTTTGGTAATAGCTATTCCCCGCCTTGACCATGGGTGGCTCCTCCACTCCTGCATGGCCTCTGGGTCAGGTGCGTGCAACCTCCACCCTGGCTGGGCCCACAGGGCCCAGGAAGGTAAACACCCAGGCAGGAAGTGATTGTCATGGGCATGGGGCCAGCTCTGGGCCGAGACGGGTCTGAAGGTCAGGAATGCTTCCCCGGGAGCCTTTTCTAGGAGAGGACAAAGCGCTTGGCTGCAGGCTCTCTGGGACAGGGTGGAGGGCGTGCAGATCTTGCTGGGGACACGGCGACCTGCTCAGGGGGGCCCCGGACAGGACAGAGGACAGGAGAAGAAGCATCGTCCAGGGGGGCCCCACCCCCCAGGAGCACCTCACTGGCAGGTGAGCAAACAGTTTTGGTATTCTTAATGAAACAAGATGAAATAAGAGAGGGAATGGGGGTTGCGGCCGGATTGGAAAGACCCCAGGCAGGTGTGTGACGGAGAAGGGTCTCCAAAAATTGAGACCATGCATCCACTCATTGAGAAAGAGCCCCAAGAGAGAATTTCACTGTGGAGACCTGAGTCTAGTCTTGGCTTCACCATTCCCTGCCAGGACTCAGTTTGCCCATCTGTGAAGTGGGGTAATGATCCCTTCCAGGCCCCCCTCCTGTCAAAGCTATGGGGACCAGGGAGATAACACACAGGACTGGCTACATCATTGGCAGGGCCCCGTGCAAACTGAACATGTGAGGCCCTTTGTTCGAAATTGGTTGAAAATTTCAAGAATGAAGCATTTTAAAAGTATTAAGAATGGCAACAGCAGAGCGTTAAACCAAGTGAGGGGCGCTTCTGAGCGCGGAGTCCTGTGTGCCCATGGCTCCAGCCGTAATAAAAACCGTATATATGTAAACTGTAAAGTGCCAAACAAACCATGATTACTATGTGCCACGGCTCAAACCTCGGGGTCAGGAAGCACACCGGAGGACCGGACGTCTCAGCCCTGGAGTGACAGCCCCCCACAGTGCTGCCCCCTCCTACTGCCCCTGTGCCTCAGGGTCCCATCTCAAAAGGACAAAAGGCCCGGCCCCTCTGAACCTTCCAGACGCACACACCTGCCTGGCATCAAGCCAAAGCATGGTGTGACTCACATGTCGCGGGACGTGCTGCTCTCGGAGGTGGTGGGTGGGCTCTTCTTTTCTCTCTTGATTTAAAATCTGGGATGTTTGCATAGTCACTGGCAAAGCAGAAGTAGACTTGGGGCTCCCGGATTTGTGACCGTTCTGCCGTGTTCTGCCGATGACCCACCCGGTTTTGCCTTTTGGAACAATGCTCAGGTTAAGGCAGGAAGACCGTTGATGGGAATGGCCCAAGCCCCTGTCACACCTCTGTCCTCCCCTCCCCTCTCCGTGTGCCACTCCGACTTTCTCTTCCGTGTTCAGGGCTGCCTGTTCTCTGGTGCTCTTGGCATCGCACAGCCCGGCAGTGGTAGGAACCAGCGTCTCTGGGGGTGTCCTAAGCTTTCTGGGAAATCAGACAACAGACCATCTCCCCAACCCCACTCTCAACCCCACCCCTTCCTGGAGTCCAAAGTGTTGTGTCTGGCAAAGCCCTCCCTTACAGAGGACCCCCACGGGAGAGGCAGGGTGACAGCAAGGTGGTGGGAGTCAGGGGCCACACCTTTCTCCCCGTGGCCAGAGACGGAGGAAGACAATTGCTTAAAGAACTCTCCCTTGCCTGTGGGAGGCCTCTCTGGCCTCAGCGGGGCAGCCCAGGGCGCTTCCACCAGTGGACAGACCAGCCCAGAGGCTCAGAGGAGGCGAGTTCTAACAGCCCACGCGAGCCTGCCAGCCTGACACCAAACATCGCCTACCTCAGGGCCCTTTCTCCAGCTCCACGAGCGCGTTGCCTCCCCAAGTAAGGATACTCCCCAGCACCACCACAGAATGGCACAATTCCTTCCTGTATTCCTTCATCAAATAATTGTGAGCAGCTTGGGCAAGTGAGGCTTGGCAGAAGGTCTGGGGGGCACAGATGGGACCACGGTGGCAGAGGAGAACAAGAACCCCAAGGCCGGGTTAGGGGCCCTCCCTCCATGAGGGGGGCACAGAATCCCCTCCTCCCTCCAAGGATGGTTACGGACTGTGGGACCTAGAGGCACTTCGGCGGGTTGAGCCATGGGGTTATAGCTCTGAGCCTCCCGGCCGTTGTTTTCCAGAGCTCCCCCTGGCGTCTCAGGGAGCTGCTGGGGCAGAGCAGCCTGGACCTCAGGAGGAATTACTTTTCTCATCACCTTGGGTTCACCTTCCCCCACTTTTGGAGCTGTGGTCTTCTGGACATAGAGGAAATGCCCACAGGAAGATGGCAGCCTGCACCCCTCTCCCTGGTTGGTAGCAGTCCTTGAGTGTCCCTGGGAGACCCCACTGGGTCAGGGCAAAGCACTATAGAGGGGGCGTCCGCCTGGAATGTTCCTTAGTGGGTTTCTTTGGGAGAAGAGCTCAGGTGGCTAATTAAGAACCTGGGTGTCTGGGAACCTGAATCAGGCCATCTCTCAATCTTTCTACCTCCACTGGCCTTGCCTTAGGGATGGGGAAAAAAATCACGTGTTCAAATGAAGGTTGGGGCGATTATCAAAGGGGTATCAGGGAGGCCTGCATGAAGGAAGTGGCCTTTGAGCTGAGCATCATTAAACAATCTTACATCACTTCTTAATTGTTTACAAGAGGAGAAGAACTAATGGGTATGGTTTTATGTGTTATAAAGTAAGGCTCTCTAACTTGAAAATAAGGTAATATTTTCATGCTTACCCTATTTGAATGATCCAAGTCCTTCAAAGAGCACACTTTCACAGAGAGCATATTTGCAGGCGGAGTGGGAACCCTGCAGGGCATGGGGATGGAAGAGGCAGAGACGTGAACCATGAGGTGAAGCATGAGGCCCGTATAAAGGCTGCTGATGGGATGGGTTTGCTGGAGCAGAGGAAGGGAGAGGGAGGTGGCCTGCAACCCACGATGCCTGGACCCCAAAGCCTCCTGGAGATCCCAGCGGGGGTCTGGATGGTCAACCCACTCCACGGGGAACTCACCCCGCACTCCTGTACTCCAGCAGTAGCTGGCTTTGCCTCGGTCACCTTCACTTTTGCCTGGAGGCTCATGCACCAGCACCAGCGTCTCCCATGGCTAGAAGCTCCGCCCATTTATTATCCGGATCTTTGATGAGTTTAAAAATGGGGCGCTGATTCATTATTATTTAATGAGTATGTTTCCTCCAGAGAGAACAGGCTCTCCAGAGAACAAGCAGCTTGGATAATGCCTTCAAAGGCTCAGAAACGCTTGGGAGCCTCTGGGGTAGCGACCAGCTGGGAGAAGGGAGGAAGGCAAGCCGGTCTGAGGACGTTGAGCTCCAGGTCCTATCTGGAAGTGGCTCCCTGGGGTTGACCCGGGAAGCATTGCTCAATCCTGAGTCAAGTTTATATGACCTCCTTGTGTCGGGGTTTCAATCCATCACGACACTGAGCTCCTGGCATGCTGACTCCTTCTCACCTTGTCCAGCCAATCAGTATTTGCTGCACGCCTGCCCAGGGCAGTGGTAAGATGTGATGAGATGGACAACCTACCCCCCCACCGCCCCTTTCCCAAGGCCCCTCAGCTCACTCCACCCCCCATACTGCTGTCCAAATAGGTAGGTTAGGAAAACCCAATTTCTCTCTCATAGCTGATTCACTCGGCATCCCTGAGCCCAAACAAATTCCCATTAAATCCCACTAATGGGACAAAAAAACTTCCAGGTATTTTAACTTCATTAAACCCTGATGTAATGAGCTAAAATCCACTCATGAAAGTGAGTATATCTATAAAGATTTTTTTTTTTCTCTCATCTGAGTGATAAAAACGTTCCTTGGTGGATTCCTGAATGCTGGAGGAAAGCCTTCTTTTCTCTAAGTTCCTTTTTAGGAAGTTAGCTTTGAACTTTAAAACGATTGTAAGGTTTTCTGTTTCCGGAGTAAAAAAGCATTTGGCACAGGGACAATTTTTCCTGGTGCCTGAGATATCAGAGCCGGTCTCTGGAACATGCTTTCCACGGGTTTATGGCCTCTTTGGAACCTGTTCAGAGTCAAGATCAAAGTCACTGGCAGTCGGTGAACTTGGGTTCCAAGTCAAGGGTGAGACATGGAGAGATTCTAGCTCGGGGTCACGATGAAGCCATCATGATGTTCAATCTAAGATAAACAGACCCACCTAGGCTATGTTTGGGAAAATATCATTATGGTTGATTTGTGTATTCATTGGAGAAATATCACAGAAATTGTCAAAATTAAGGAGCACGGGTAGATGTGCACACATCTAACCTCGGGCCCCAGGCTCAGTCACTGTCTACTTTTTCTCTCTCTCTGAATTGTCTATGATTTCTAAGGCTGTTTTCTCAGGAAAGGCTGTTTGCTTTAAGTCAGAATGTCCTAAATTCAAGGTGGTCCTCACCCCTAGTTTAGAAATCATGCTCTCTGCCAGGGCCAGGCTGCCTCTACCACGGGCTGGCTGTGTGACCTGAGCTGAGTCAGTTAACCTTTCTGAACCTCTATGTCCTCCATTGTACAAATGGGGTAAATGGCACAAGGACAGTAACAATCATTGGGATTGCCCTGGGTGTTCCATGAGATGAAGAATATAAAGGGCTTGGCTTTCACTGTTATTATTCCAGTAGGCCTAGAGGATAAAAAATAGATCCTCTTTTCCAGGATAAACATTGACCTTAAGTAGTAGAGAATTTATCAGCTCACATTGAAAATGAGCACTAAGCATGAAAGTGTACATAGAACCCTCAAGTGTAAAGCGAACTGGCTTCCGCTGACCGGTTCATGCAACCTGCTCCAGGCGCTCTGAGCCTGGCCAGCTTTGCGAAACTCCTTTCCCTGCATGGTGCCATTCAGGTCTGCCAGTCGTCAGCTGGGGAGCACACGCCCAAGGTGTCTGCACATTGGACCCGACGATTATTTCCCTCCAGTGAATATTTCTTGGTACGTGAAGGCGTTTTTTTTTTCCTGGCAAAACCACAGGGCTCCAGTTTTTAAAAATGAGTCTGATCACTGCTGGCATGGAAAGAATTTGAGGAAATCAATGATGGCTGAACCTCCTAGATATAGGGCTCCATCTGTAAGGAGAGTGTAGTAGCTTCTCGTTGCTGCTGTAACATACGAGCACGTACTTAAGTGACTTCAAACAGCACAGATGCATCATCTTCCAGTTCTGGAAGACAAGAGTCTAAAATGGGTCTCCCTGCGCTAAAACCAAGGTGTTAGCTGGGCCACTTTTCTTCTGGAGCCTCCAGGGGAAAACGTTTCCTTGTCTTTTCCAACTTCCAGAGGCCACCCACATTCCTTGCCTCGTGGCCTCCTCTTCCATCTTC